CATGGCAGCCGAAAACCGTATATTCCCTTCCTGTTCTCCCACCCGTTCGTGCATTCTTTCCAAAAATCGGGACTTTTTTAAAACCGCAGGACGCGGGACAAATTGTTGAAAAGTGGGACTGTCCCGCCAAAAGCAGGACATCTGGTCACCCTAATCTGACCCTCTCCTGCCAGGTCATCTTCCAGAGTAAGACACAAAAGTGCCATGCAAAGACTTCTGCTGCTTTTCACTAAGTAAGAGATTTCCCCCAGAGGAGAGCAGGGACATTGCAACCTTACCTGTTTTGAGCTAAGAGAAGTTTCAAATGAGAAGGAACCAGCATAACAACTCTGACAACATGAATAAATAACTGTTTTGACATCCCCCAAAGATCACAGTAGGTCTCTAGCAATGGATGCTGACTTGAAGGAAATTATTGAAATGTCAGATATAGAATTCAGAATATGGCAAATAAGATGACAAATAAGTTGAATGAAATTGATAAAGAAGTTGAAAACCAACATGAAGAAATCCAAAAAATAATTCAGAACATGAATAAAAAATTCTCTAAAGAGGTAGATAACATAAGAAAAGATAGAACTAAAAGAAATGAAAGAGTTGTTTAGGGAATTTCAGAATACAGCAGAAAACTTTGTAACAGCAGACTGTATAATCAATCAGAAGAATGAATTTCCAAGCTTGGAATGAATTTCCAAGTAAATTAACCAAGTCAGAAAATATGCAGAAAAAAATATAAAGAAGAATGACTAATCACTAGAGAAATACGGAACTCTGTAAAATAAGCCAATATAAGAGCCATAGGGTATCCCTGAGGGAGAAGAAAAAGTAAAGAGCATGGAAAACCTACTTAAGTTTGGCAGAAAACCCAGGGGTTTTTTGTTTGTTTTGGTTTTTTTGAGACAGAATCTTTCTGTGTTGCCCCAGGTAGAGTGCTGTGGCATCACAGATCACAGCAACTTCCAACTCTTGGGCTTAAGTGATTCTCATGCCTCAGCCTCCCAAGTAGCTGGGACTACAGGTGCCCTCCACAACGCCCGGCTATTTTTACAGATGGGGTCTCTCTCTGGCTCAGGCTGGTCACAAACCCATGAGCTCAGACAGTCCACTCGCCTGGGACTACAGGCACCCACCACAATGCCCAGCTATTTTTTTTGTTGTAGTTCTCTTTTTTGTTAGCAGGCCCGGGCCAGGTTCAAACCTGCCAGCCCCAGGTGTATGTGGCTGGCACCCTAACCACTGAGCTATGGGCAAGAAACGAGCCAGAACACTGTTTTTAACCATCTTATACTTAAAAATTAGAGAGTATTTCTGACGTTTCTATACTTAGCTTTTGGTTTATGGACATCATTGTTTTGGTTTGTGGATATTCTCCTATTCCTTTGTATACTGTAATATTTAGTGAGAAAATCTGAAGAACAAATCATTAAGTAAGATTGTATGTTCTCTGTAAATACCAATAATTGTATAATCTGTGGAGTGGATTAGATGACCTTGGTTTTTCTAGTCTAAAACATTTTCTACAGAACTATGCAGGATCCATTACTGAGAATATGAATAAAAGCCTACAAAATTATGTGAGTCTTGCCCTATATTTATGAATCAGATTTTTAAGTAGAAACCACAGTTGTTTCCTTGCTTTTCATTCATGCTTTAGCAGAGGATATGATGCCACAGAGCTGGCTTGATGTATAGTTTCTCATTTAAGGTTTGCATTGCTTTCTTTTCCTTTGTAGAAGCCACAGCAGTTTTGATATATTATGAAACCACAAAATGTACCTTGGGGTTTTTTTTGAGACAGAGCCCCACTTTGTTGCCCTCAGTAGAGTGCTGTGATGTCACAACTCACAGCAACTTCAAACTCTAGGGCTCAAACGATCTTCTTGCCTCAGCCCCCTAGGTAGCTGGGACTATAGGTGCCCTCTACAATGCCTGGCAATTTTTACGGATGGGGTCTCTCTCTGGCTCAGGCTGGTCACAAACCCATGAGCTCAGACAATCCACCTGCCTCAGCCTCCCAGAGGGCTAGGATTATAGGCATGAGCCACTGTACCTGGCCAAAATGTACCTTGTTGGGTGTTTAGCAGGAGAAAGTGTGTTAAATATGTATTAATAGTTATCTCTTATCTGAAATGTTTGGGACCAGAAGTGTTTCTTATTTCTGATTATTTTGGAATTTGGAATATTTTCATTACATATTCTTACTGGTTGAGCATCCCAAACACTAAAACTCCAAATCCAAAATTCTTCAATGACCTTTTCCTTTGAAGATCACATAGCACTTTAAAAAGTTTTAGATTTTGGAGGATTTCAGGTTTTCAGATTTAGTATGTTGAACCTGTATTTGCTAGTCTCAGTACTGTTTGTGATATTCCTATTTAGGCCTATTTTGAAAATATAGCATAAATCGATAAATGCATACATTTGTTTATTCATTTGGGTAGGCTATTATATAATCAAACAACCACAGACATGTGGAAAACAATTTTGAATGCTTTAAATACATGTATATTAATTGATATTTAAAATTAATCCTGTATATTGTTTAACGTGACTCTAATGGGTTAAATCTCGCTTTTTTGTTCTACCTTAGCATCAAGGCATGCCACGGGTTGCCTCTCATAAATGGACAAAGCTGTGACCCTTATGCAACAGTTTCTCTAGTGGGGCCTTCTAGGTAATGTTTATTATTATTAGGTTTTTAAGTTTTATAGTTTGATTTAAAAATAGAAATTTAAGATTCTGTTTTAAAAGAAGTCTTGAATGAATTCTGTTAGATACTTAGAAACAACCAGTCCTCTGTTTACAAAAAGAAAATGGGTATCATTTCAATTATTCCAGACTCTTAGGCTACTGGGAACAACCCCAGTTTTATACTATTACATTGTAGTATTTAGAACATAAACTTGGCCTTCCTCATTCATTAGCATTCCTACTTTCAAATGTCCTAGATATTAATGAAAGTAAAATCCAAATTTATATACCTTCTCAGAAAAACAAAGCAATTTTCATATTTTTATCTAGAAAGCAGCTCAGGAATGAAAATTGCCTTTGCTACTCCTGAAATCTGTCCTCCACAAAGAGAATTGTAAATTATAGACAAACTGCTGAAATACTAGAGCATAGGGAAGTGTGCCATATCATTGATCTTAATGATTTCATAATTTATGAAAAATATTTTGTACTATATAACTTTACTGTAGTTTTGCTAAGGAACTGTCTAAACTATGGCTACAAATTCAGTGTTTAAATCGGGGAAAACAAAGCACAACATTTCCTCAACACACACAAACGTACATGCATAACACACAGACACACACCCCTTCTCCTTAGCTCCAAGATGTCCAGTTATTATTATTTTTAGAAAATTACTAATAAGTCACTTTGAAAAATGTAATTTATATATGTATATAAAGTACCTGGTACCATGCCTGGTACTTATCAGGTGCTCAAATAATGGTATGCTGTTATTATTACAGACGGTTTTAAATTTAAAAGCATATACTCAATCCTGTAACATTAAATGCCATCAGAGAAATCTAATTTTGCATTGTTAAAAATGTTCAACCTCCTAGAGCTATTTTTGGTTTCTTAATTTTTAATCTATACCTGACACATTCTTTAGTGTAGTTGTTTAGTAACATACAGTTAGAAACTATTTGGTATGTGATTTTGAGTTTTATGCCACTTATTTCCTTTCTTGGGGAGAAAAGAAGTCACTGTTGGTTTTGCTATTATATCACAGTTACATGAGATGTTAATGTCAGGGGAGACTGAGTAAAGGGGTGAGTTTTCCTTGTAAATTTCTTTGTAACCTCCTTTGCCTCTGTAATTATTTCAAAATGATTTTTCTTTTTCTTTTTTTTTTTAATGACTGTCATAGCTGAAGCCCAAGAAGTAAACTGAGTTAAGAATATTTTTCATGTTCCTCAGGTATTTTTTCAGCATAGATAAGGGTACTCTAAATCTCATTGTCTTCCTTCTCACCATTTATTCTGAGTTGCTTATGTAATATAATGTGTTTTTAAAACCCTTAAAAAGCTTGGCAGTCTAGTAAAGCCATAGATAATACGAGCTTGTGTGTCCTTTGATTTGAGTTTGTAGGGACATCTTAATTCTTTCCTAAGTAATGTTTAAAACTATGGTCTTCCCTGAGTCACCTTAACTTTTAAACATCGGTCAGGCTCCCTGGTTGGAAATAGCATGTTTTATAATTGTGTACTATTAAGTTCTACAAGGTAAAACTCTACCACATTGGAACAGGAATGACCAAAAGAAGACAAAAGTAAAGAAGAAAACAAGCAATCCGCAGTTTAATGAAATCTTTTATTTTGAGGTAATTTTTTGTTTTATGTAAATTTTAATATTAAATATTTAAAATTGAACTCTAATTGATTTCTTTTTTCAAACCACAGTCATAGAAATTATTTTATCAACTAATGCAACTAAGCATTTCTCTCCTGAAAGTATTAGAACCATGGTGTGATGCATTGGAGGCCCGGCATATAAAACGAATAAAAGTAGAGCTCTGACTTGGAAGTGGGAAAGGCTAGAGCCACATGCACTCCCCAGTTATCCTATCACACCCTCCTCCACCCTGTCCACACAGTAGCCACAGGATTCCTGCAGTGTACCATTTATAAACCACTAGTGGAGTAAGTATGATTATCATTGAATAGTTCTAGTTCTGCTTGACTTTGAGAGTCTTAAATGAGACTCAAGTTTCTTATCTTATGAAAGGATAATATTATAAAGAAAAACAGCAGCTCTTCCTGAGTCAGAGTTTTGCTAAGGCCCAAAGCATCCTTTGTTTAGAGCCTTGTTAAGTTTTTTTAGCTTAGTTCACTCTGTGGAGACATGCTTATTGAAGTTGTCTCAAACTCAGTTCTTTGACAACATAGTAAGACTTCACCTCTATAAAAAGTTTAAAGTTTAAACCAGGCATGGTGGTTCATGGCTATAGTCCCAGTTACTCAGGCAGCTTAGGCAGAAAGATCATTTGAACCCAGGAGCTTGATGTTGTACTGAACTATGGTGATTTCACTGTCACCCAGAGTAGCCCAGGTGACAGAGTTAGACCTTGTCAAAAAAAAAGAAAAAAATGAAAGAAATAAATCCTTTTCCATATTATTTGAAAACTATAGAAAAAATAAATTATCTAAAGTACTATGTTCTAATAGTAGTGCTTGTTGCAGTTGATACTAACATGTAGGAAAGGTTTGAAAAAAGGAGTTACATTTTCATCTTTATTATGTGTTTTTCTTGGTATTTCAAAGTGGAAAAAGTGAAGTTACCTCTAGTAAAGAGAGACAGGCTAAGGAAAATGCCAAAAGTCAAGTATGGGAATTATGGGGATGGAAAAAAGGGAGAAAAAAAACAAAAGAAAGTATACCAATGTGAGACTTCCATTTCCCGACTATATTATTACATCTAACCTGGCGACAACAAAGAAGACAGCAACTTAAAGGCTACTCCTACTCCCCATTGGTCCACATACCTTAAATATCAGATGGTATAGAATCTACTATGCTTCATGAGTCCCTACAGCAGGCATATGGCTCTTTGAAAGTCAAGGCCTCACCTGCTTGCTGTACCAACAGTGCCTGTGTTAGGCCTTGAAACATTCATTCGGAGGGACCTTTGTTGAGTTGGTTATATAGGTAAGGCTCAATCTTTGTTCTCTAGCTAAAGCAAGAGACACAAAGCACACACATATGCATGTACACACCAATGAAATGTAGTACATACTAGGGAGGTCAGATGAGCTTTGCTCCAGCTGAAGTGATCAGAAAAGGTTGGAAGAAAGACTGGATTTTCTTAAGAGGAAACGAAGAAGAGACAACATTTTGAGCAGAGGAACAGAAAAGCAGAAAGTTATGTTCAAAGAACAAGAAGTAATGATTTAACTGGGTTTGTGTAATAGAAACTATGATTAGGAAGATAAAATAGGACCAGTTAATGAAAGTCCTAGAATGCCTAGCTGGGATGCTTAATTGAATATTTTTGAGCTTGGAAGTTATAAGAGTAAAGTGGTATTTTGGAAAGAATTAACTGTGGTAGCTTAGGGAGAGAGAATAAAGATCAGTTCATGTGTTTAAAAAAAAAAAAAAGAGGAGGGGTATCTGTTCCATGACAGTAATACAAAAATAAAGGGACAGGTGAAAAAGATACCCCAAAATCAAGATAACAAATTGGTTATAGAAGCAGTAAGGAAGGAGTTGCATGTTGTCATGGTTCTAAATCTTGAAAAGTAGAAAAATGAGGAGGAAGAAACATAACTGGTTTCATTTTGTAGCATAATGCTTGAAGTGTAACATATAAAATCCTCCAATAGGAGTTCAGAACTAAATAGTATTATATCAGACTTGATAGTTGTGAATCAAGATTTGTTTATGAAGAGTTAAGAAAGCCAAGGGAGTAGAGGCATACAATAAAGGAGAAAAGCAGCCAATCTCAGTTCTGTCAATAAGTATTCAACTTTGAGTATGTCACTTAATTTCTTTACTTGAGATTTCTCATTTTTAAGATGAGGGTAATAAATCAACCCCTGGCTCCCCCCATCCCCAGCAGTGTTCTGCTGAACAAAGGAGATAATGGATGTGAAAGCACTGTGTAAACTGTATAGCACTGTGGAGCTCCAGGTGGTTTTTAGAGCAGAATGAAACATAAAACCTTGGAGAATACCCATATGTATAGGCTCCCAGGAAGAAACTGAGAGCAGCAAAGGGCTGCCAGGATAAGTGCCCAGGTAAACTCAAAGAAGAAGTGTTTCAGGGAAAGGAGGTGTAATTGTATGATGACTACATTAGATAGAAAGGTCGATAAGGTGAGAACTAAGAATTGATCATCAGATTTGGTGGTGGAGAGAGAGATTTTAAGAGGGTAATCTGTGAAGTAGTCAGTGACAAGGAGTTGCTGTAGTGGGGAAGGTGGGTAGGTGGGGAAGAAGTTCAGGCTTTAAGAACAGATTACGGTTTTCAGATACTTATCTAAGAAAAAAGGTAGAAAGACCATAACTTAAGAGGAGAATTTTTCTTAGACTTGAGTAAGGTGAACAAGCTGGTAAAGAAAGCTATAATGAAAATAGATTGAATAGTGCTTGCTGTGTGCTCATTGCAGACTATGTTTGGGTGGGATAGCCTTAGAAAAAAGGAGAATTGTCTCATCTTCTGGGAAGAGGATGAGAAATCTCATCAAGGTGGGTGGTCATTGGGGAAGTTCCTGCCAATGGCCTATGTTTTCAACAAAAATCTGAGAAAGGAGTGCAGGTAGGGTTGCTAGCTTGAGAAATGTGGGAAAGTCTTTAAATAGTTCTTGGCAAATGCAATTTCATTGCAATAGG